TCCTAACATAATTTCATGATTTCATCTGTAAATCATCACATGCAAGGACTCAAACTCTATGCATGTCATCAAAATGAAGATAGAATATGAGTTTTACCTTCGATTTCTCTATAAATCCTTCAATAATCTTGATAAAACACTTGATTTAAGGATAGATTAACTCCCAAGTGTGTGTAATCGCACCTTAGAACACCAAGACTGATTTTGAGAGAAAACGGGGTTGAAAATGGGGCTGATTTGATGATTTGGGACCGAAATCCCGAGTTGGGTCGGGTTGACCCGGCTGGGTACCCGTTTTGACCCCTAAACACTAAAAAATTGCATAACTTCTTGCTCGGGACTCCGTTTTCGATGAGGTTTTCGCCTACACGTCCGAAACGAGATAACCTACAAGCTCCAATAAAAAGATTCCATTGTTAGAACCCAATGCTCAAAACCTTACCCGAAAAGTCGATGTTTTCACACATAATTAAGCGTATTAGGAAGATGGATGTTACAGCTCATACGAGGTTTCCTCTTGGATCGACCCTTGTGATAACGTACCCCGTGGGGGTATTAGGTTGCCACTYGGAGTGTGTCGTCCTGAATTGTGTCTCACACCATGGATCTCACTAGAGCGATGACTATCWACTAWCCCGCCATTTGGGCCTAGCCCATATGGTGTCCTCTGCCCTCCAAGCCYACTCACACGTCCTCTCCCCCGGTTGATGGCCCTAGTGTACCATTTTCCTACAAACCATAAGGAAAACTCTACGTCACCTATTGATGAAAATCAAACTTTCTTATGATGCAAAAAAAATTGTAATACCCCAAATTCTCATGTTCTAGAACCCACATAAAGTTTAAGCTTAGGCTAAAAGAAATCTTAACCTATTTCTCTTAAACTAAGGCTCTGATACCAACTTGTCATGCCCCGATTTTTTTTTTTGTTCGAGTACCATGACGTCATTCTTAATAACTTATGCCATGAACATAATACGAACTTAAAAATTAAAACATACATAATGTGTTAAACATAATTCGTTACATAATTGTGGAAGCGTAAAATACTTTAACGTAATCAATGCTAATTAAATATCTAATCAAGCAAGATTCAAAACATAGTTTCGTCTTTTTCCATTCAACTCATCTACTGACAATTGATACCAGAGATATATACATGTATAGTATAAGCTAAAAGCTTAGTGAATACAATGTGATTTCATGTTCACATGCACACATAAATAGTGTTTTAGTGTATTTTAGTTATTATTTTGCAAGTGAGACCTTGGCTCGTCACTTTTCTTTGCGTATGTGGCGTATTCTATGGACGAGGACTCCAAGACCTCGAAATTGCAAGCCCTCTTTCATGTCCGACCCACCCCGTACTGTTATAACCGGGTTTCTGCAAACCGGGGTCAAGGTAACCTTATGTGTTTACTATATGAATTATGTGATAGCATGCATAATTATGATAATACTTGCATGGATTATGTGTACATGTGTGGTAATTTGATATTATACATACAAGTGGAAGTATTACATAATTATAGGAGGATATATAGTAAAAATATTATTATATACATATAATTCAAACCTTCATGGTTAAGAAAGATTGATTTTTAATTCATTATTTTCCACCGCCCATTGATTTTTATATTGGTATAACCATCACCGCCTCATTTTAAAATATAAAAGGAAGAGGATAAGATGAAAATCCTTATCAGTTTTCTGCTTTACAAAAGAAAGGAAGTTTAAGAAACAAATAAATTTAAAGGCGGTGACAGTGTTCTTGAAGGTGTTCTTGAAGAAAGAACCGGTGTTTAAAGATTTGCTCTGTGGTGTTATTTACAGAATCTTTATTCGATTTTAAGGTGAGTTTTAAATAACTGTCGATTATAACTGAAAATTTTTGAATTATTGCTATTTACAAACTTTGAGTTTTAAATCTGCTGTTTGATTTTATAAATTAATGATTACGGATGAGTTGAGAAATCATACACAGAACAGATTATTCTTGTGGTTTGAAAGGTTTGAATACAGACCTGCTTTGAGTTTATGATTTGATTAAAACTATGAACGAGGTTCACTCTGACATAAATGCCTGCAGCCTGTCATTGGATGAAATAGTTCATAAGAATTTCAGTAGAAATAAGGATGGTCATTGTATGTGACGGATAGATGTTGCTATAAAGGGGAATTATGGATGAAATAAGGATGGTCGTTGTGTGTGTGTGCATGGTATAACTCTTTCTATTATATCTCTTAAGATTACAACAGATTGGAGTTCTCTCTTCTTAGTGATTTGAGGATTCAGAGATGTTGTTCTTACTGGAAATAATAGTATTGATGTTATGGTTACGGAAAAATATGGCTTATGGTCATTGATTTTGGTTAAAAGTATTTTGGAACAGATTGTTCACTTTCATGAGGAGCCAGAGGAGCTCTGGTTGGTTCTCATTATTGGACCAGAGGGTTCTGGTTATGAATTTGGGAAATATACAAGTTCTTATTAAAATGTACTAGTTGGACCAGAGGCTCTGCATCTATTTTTGATAAGAGCTTATGTGTCAAAAATAGTATTTAGAAGTCTTTTAAGGAAAAGAATTTTATACTAAGAATCTTTTATGAAAAACAGACCAGAGGAGCTCTGGTTGACTTACACGTTGAACCAGAGACTCTGGTTGGTAATAATTTTTGAACCAAAAGCTCTGGTTAGTACAACCATAGGCTCAGGTCGAACATGAACTCTTAATAACCATTCCTTTTATGAAAGAGACTATCTGTTTGGTTGCAAATGTTAAATAAAGAACATTATCAGAAATTGCTTAAACAATAAGCTTTGGTTAGTGCAACCAGAGGCTCTAGTTGAAGAACCGGAGACTCTGGTAGAGGAACCAGAGGGGCTCTGGTCCTGTTTCTTAAAATATATTCCAAAGTTTGGTTTTGGAACTAGAGGCCCGATGGACTTAAACAGAATGTGATTCTATCTTTTGATTTTAATGGTATATTTCAAATAAATGTTTTGGTGATTTACACCCTGCATTACATAAAAGGGGAACCTCACTAGACATTCATGTCTAACCCTCATTTTGTGTTTTCAAAATATGTGTGCAGGTAATGATAATAAGGGAAAGAGCATTCTGTGAATTATTTTCCTATGTGTTTAAGTTGTGTGAAGATCTTATTTAGCCATGTTTGAAGTAGAGATATAGAGATACAAGAGCATGTACTTTTTGGAATTTTTTAGATGTATATTTTAGTCTCTTGTATTATGGACCTATGTGGGGAAAACATGTATTCTATGTATAAAATATGTGTTATATGCAATATATGGATTTGGGGGTGTTACAAGTTGGTATCAGAGCCTAGGTTAAAGGGATTTAGGTATTCACATGCATGATGCCTAGACTTAGATTATTTTATTGCATATTAGGGTCCCAGACATAGTTAACACCTTTGGAATGAATATGATAAGTTAAAGAGATCAGTGTGTAAGGTATTTTCGGATTACATCTGGTCAATGTAATTTTGAATTTACAGGTACATAACTAAACTTGGATACTTTATTATATTTGGAAATGTGAAAATATGTTAACTAACTTTGAAATCTACTGATGACAAGTAGATCTAGAAGGTCAGAAAGGATCACCCGCCCCAACCCCACTAATGAAGAAGAGGAATTTCCTATTCTTGCTCCCATTGGCACCTCTAAGGGCAGAGGCAGAGGAAGGGGCAGAGGCAGAGGTCAAGGCAGAGGATAGACCAGAGGCAGAATAAGTCAACCAGAAGTTAATACAGATCAGGCCGAATCTAACTCTGAAAACATGAATCAAGAACATATACCCCAACCAGAATATGTGACTAGAGACATGCTAGCTGAAGAGATGGGAAAGCTAAGGGAAACCTTGACTTCCATCATGGGGATTCCTATCAGAATCGAGACTGGTAGAGTTGAGATTAATCCAGCCGTTCCAATTATCAGTAACAAGGAAGGGGATATAAAAATGTTTTTGACTTGCAAACC